TTGAAAGGAAAAGGCAATTTATAATTCTAGACACAACAATAAATCTAGTATTCATAAACAAGCAAAAATAACAAATGTCGATGACTATTGGCAACAAAAAAATGTACCTGTAAACATGATTGCATTACAGTGTAGGTGATTACCATAGTTGATATACCTAGTAAGATCAACTAAGAAACAAATTTACTATCGTAATTATAACACAGTAAGTTCAATAAAGAAACAAAAACTAATGCACGTCTACGGATATTTAGTGTTGTTGTGAGAATGATTATTAATTCTCAAACTCCTTTTATCACAAAACCTATTTATATATTTATATAAAAAGTTTTTATCTTTTTATTCTTACATTAAACATATTATCGTGGAAACCAATAGAATACAATAAGTTCTTCAATTATAGCACCGTTCTTCAATAAGTTCTCATACAACATCGGCAGGGGTCCGAGGTTTTTTGGGTTTGAATAGATTCTTCATTGAACAGCTCCTAACAACCTTCTTAACAAGGTTCTTGAAATTCGAAGAAGAACCCAATATCTTACGTTTCGCATCAACCTTCCTCATTACAACAGCCATCTCTTTCCCGTTAATGGAATCTGGAGTTTGAGATTCCACAAGCATAATAGCATTAGAAAAAAGATCACAAATTTTCCGAAATTCCCAATTATTGTTGCAATAGAAGGGCATAGGAATAGCTTTTGTTGTTGTAGAAGAAAAATAAAGAGTTTAAATATTCTTTTTATTGTGTTTGTCATAGAACTTTCACCTCAAATGAAAATTTTAAACAAATTATAACACTAAAAACAAATAAATTAAGTCATAGCATTGGATACTACAATGCACAAGATTTTTACATTTTTTTTGTTTTTTTATTACTATGCAGTGCAATCAAGTCGAGCTTACTAAACATGACGTAAAATGCTAATTTTCAAGGAAATCTAAAGAAAATGAAAGACTTACATTGGTGATGGTGCTTTGACACAACAAGTTCTAACCCAGAAAGTGCACAAGGTACTGCATAATGACCAAAATAATCAGTTATTAGTTGGAATTTCCAATTACAATGAAAATAAGCAATTTTTCATTCCATACCAGAAATTGCAGGTGTAAGAACTCCATCCCCAATCACCATACATGTTCCAATTAAGGCCAAAGGCAGCAACATTTTTTGCAACAAACTGTGTTTCTCCAATATTGATCTTAAGCTCAATTCCAATCCAAGACAGTCATTAGGCGATGAAATTCCATCTCTTTTATCTCATTTGTAGTAATACAAGTCCTCATTGGCTAGCTGCCCATATATTGGGGCTTAGGTCTCCAAATTTGTTCTACAATAAGTAAAATAATCTCGACTCAAGATTGAGTAACTGAAAGTTTCTTTTGGTGATTGATCAGTTTGATCCAAGGAAGAATGTGAAGGTTGATATCCCCTTTCGTAGTTTTCATCTGAGTTTAATAAGCTGTTCATTTCTTGAATTTTTTGGCTAATTCAACTATTCTGCAAGAATTTGTACATAATTTTAACAAAAAATTACTAAAGATATATATATAATTTCAGATTCCTGAAGAAATTCTCACAAACAAAAAGAATACAAAACTAACAGGGGATCAACTTTAATTCTGGCCAGCCATTTTTTCACAACCTCGATTCAACAAGTTCAACAGCTCATCTAGCAATCTGAGAGCGCCGTCTTTAAACACAATGTTGTAAGTAGTCATAGAAGCACTGCACCTAACATATAATTAAACTAAATATGAGGAAGAGCTTAACATAGTAGAAGAAAGATATTGAAATTTTCGAAGAACCATTTGGAAAACTTCAAAATATGTAGTAAATAGAGTTTTCTTAATAAAATCTATATCAGATATGTATCAATCTTCAAATTTTGTTGAGAACCCTCTAGAGAGATGATTTGTATTACTCAATGTAAGAGAACTGACAAAAAAAACCTTCAGCAACGAATTATGCAAGTCGTATGGTTTAATATCAATGATTTTTTCAAAAAACAGAGAAACAAAAACAATTAAAAGTAGACAATTGCAATTGTTAAGTTTCCACTTATTTATCTTTCTCCTTAAAAAGAGACCAAATAGTTTTACCATGTTACATTTTGCAAGCTAGTTCACTAAAAAGTACACCATCCCTATCAATTAATCTCATCAAATTTCCATCAGAAGGATCTAAAGGGTTAAAAAGGTTACCTAACCACAATCCTCCATTGTGGTATAGCTCTATCTAGTATTTTTTGGATCACATCTCATTACAATCCACCATTCATGCCATGCATGTCGAAGGATGTAAAAAGATAATCAAATGCCTTCATGAAGGAAATGAATGAATATATGAAGGCCACAAAATGAAGAAAGGCGCGCGCGCGCGCGCACACACACAGGGCCAGAAAGAAAGAAACAAAAGAAAACCTAAACAAACATGACCATACCTCTTCTGAATCAAGTAACATCCAATTGCAATAAGGTGATTCAACAAAGATTCTACCAAAACCAGGGTCTTGGCTAGAAGAAAAGACAACAAATTGCCAGTAAATAATTATGCATTTAATCTGGCAAATTACACGACTTTAAAACTGATTAAAGACATGGATTTACCTCTATCCTACATTCAAAATGCTTCTTCTTATAAAGGAATCACAAAAAGCTATCTTATGGCAACTGTTCACGAAATAAATGCTATACCACACACCCACATCCACTCATACCAACAACAACATTAGGAGGTGACATCAATTATAGATTCATGTAAAGACTCTTATACTGCAACTATTTGACTTATCAGAAAATAAAAATTAAATATATGCAGTAGGGTTTTAACCTCATTTTTCCTGGTAAGATTGGTTTCCCATTCAAAACTTCAGCAAATATGCAACCAAAAGACCACATGTCAACAGCTGGACTATATTTCGTCGCTGTGAGAAGCAACTCTACAGATCTGGGTGATCAATGGTTTGAAATGGAAAGTCTCAAAGATTGCCACTGGAAGGCAATACAAACTCACGGGTATCAAATATGTTAAGAGTTTCTTGTGCAGTAATCCTGCGAAAAAAGAGAATGATAGATATAAAATTTACCTGTACCAAAAAGTAATGACATGATTCATAAGATTAGCATTATGGTCACTTGAAAATGATCGTGCCAGCCCAAAATCTACAAGCTTCAGATTTCCTTCATTGTCCATGAGAAGGTTGGAGCCTGCAAAATGCTAACTCGAAGATCAGCTCCACTTCCACAGAGTAGCAAATGAATAAGCAGGAAATGAAACCAAATTAACCTTTGATATGGAAACCGGAGATTTGATATGCCATTGGTTGGAGCCCTTATTTCGCACGACCCACCTGTATAATATTTCAAATTCAACATAGAAAAAGAACATATCATTTTTTCATTCAATAAAGGGTCGCAAAAACATCAACACTGATAAATTAGAGCCATACCTTCTGAAAATCTGAGTTTTCTTTGAAGTTGTCATTAGTGATTCCATTGTATAGACGTAGCAAATAATTGAAACGAACTTCTGAATCTCGCTCGTGGAACCCGTAAAAATCTTTTATAGCAAATGTAAAGAATTAAAAATAGTACTTTTTGTTTACTGTAATATTTTTGCCTGCAACTAAATTGAGGGAACCATTGTATGATAGCAGATTATAATAATTTCGGTGTGTGCATGAAATGCTCGTCCTGAGTAAAATGTTTGAATGGTCACTGAACTTTAACATGGTCACGATTTACTCATTGAACTTCAAATTGCCTCTTAATGGTCAGTGAACTTTCTGCCGTTGCACCACATCCATTACTCCCCAAATTCCGTTACCATTGGAGTTGACGGGGCGGACAGAAACCACACGAGGCAGGTGACGGCAGTTAAAAAATGACAACTCAGCAAAAACATTGTTTCATTACTCATCCAACTTACATTTTGTCACATTTCACTCATCGAACTTCAAAATGCTTCCCAATGGTCACTCATCTTTGAAATGTTGCACTATATTCATCATCTGCATATTTTGTTCCATTCGCTCCTAATGTTCGCACAAAAATTTCACGTGATAAGTTACAAATGTTAAAAAAAATTGCAACTCAACAAAACTTAAGTCACCAAAATCATCATATATGAAACGTGACTTCCACGGCCCCATCAACTTCTTTAAAACTCAATAAAGCGTCCCCAATGATTCTTTTAGAAATATCATTTTTCTAATTCGAACGTTTACTATGCAAAAAAATATGTGTCAATCTGAAGTTGAAACTCTAAAACATAACTTGTTTAGGGACGCTGTATTAGATTTTAAAGAAGTTTATGAAGTGTGGAAGTTTATGAGTTTCAATTTTTTGTAACATTTGTAACTTTTCACGTAGAATTTTTGTGCGAACATTAGGAACGAAGGGAACAAAATATGCGGATGATGAATAGAGTGCAACATTTCAAAGATGAGTGACCATTGGGAAGTATTTTGAAGTTCGATGAGTGAACTGTGACAAAATGTAAGTTGGACGAGTAATGAAACATTGTTTTCGCTGAGTTGTTAGGCCGTCATCTTCCACGTGTGTTTTTCGTCCGCCACGTCAGCTTCGATGGTAACGGAATTTGGTGAGTGTTGGGTGTGGTGCAACGACAAAAAGTTCAGTGACCATTAAGAGGCAATTTGAAGTTCAGTGAGTAAGTCGTGACCATGTTAAAGTTCAGTGACCATTCAAACATTTTACTCGCTCGTCCTTCCCACCTTTTCTTGATTTCCCACCCATTATCCTAAAGTCTTGTAATGTCTAAAATGACACGGTACCTTTCAAAGTAAAATCCATTTAATTCTGCAGCAATAGCATTCCAGATCCAACATTTCACGAGCAGAATATTTGATAATACTTAACCCTACAAGGCCATAAGTTCTTTCTAGTATCTTATTAGAATCCTACTAAAACTTACAATGTGCACTAACTATAGCAATTTGCAGTAGTAGTTTTTTTTCATTGACCCAGTTTAAAATTTTAAAAAGGCAATGAAATTGGGATTCCTGTCTTTTTCCCGAGACCTCGTTTGTTCAATTTCTTTCATTCAGCCATACTATTATAGTATTACCTTGTGTGACTCTGTTCTCAAATGTTTGGAAAGATTCTTTCTTACTGCTCTGGCTTCGAATTGTATTAATTAGAAAACTATTTGTTCTTATTAATTTGCAGATTTTCAACAAAAAAAAAGGAAAAACAGTTCTGTTAGAGGAAGAACAAAACAATTAGATGTGATTGAAAACCCGAACTAATATAATGTTAAAGCAAAAATAACATAAAAAGGAAAGTTAAAATGTTGAAAAATCATGGCTATGAACTCAAAAACTTTTTCGAAATCCCTCTTTTTCTTCAACAAATTACCCAATAATAATAATAAGATTTCAAGACCAAAACAAGCGAACACCTTACTAACAGAGTTCACGATGGGGCTGGACGTGGTCCGGTTCGATTCGATTCTGAAGATATCCGAACCAAACCAAAATTTTTGGGTATTTAATAAATGGAACAGTCGAGTCCAAATATAATTATGGAACCGTTCGAGTTCGGTTCCGTTCGATTATGTTCGGTTCCGTACCATAATTAATTTTCTTAGCATTTACAGCAATATTACATAAATACAACTAAATGACATGTTCATTCGTAACTTTACAGGTTCGATTCCATTCCGTTCTGTTTGGTTCGATTCGGTTTGGTTCCGTACCATAATTAAATTTTTTAACATTTACAACAATACTACATAAATACAACTAATGACATGTTCATTCGTAACTTTTACAAATTAAATGCATTATCTAACATTAAGAATGTTGAATTCCATTTGTAGGAACATCTAAAATTGCAAGTTTTTTACATACAATATTTTCCCTTTAAATACAACATTTAAATTACATCAACCGGGAATGAGATTATTGAAAATATCAAATGAAAGTACGAAATTGGAAAGGGAAGGATAAAAACTTAAAAAAGCTTAGATTTTGGGCTTAACAATGAAATTAATATTGGGCCAAAAAATCAAAACAAAAAATTGAATTTAGAAATTTGGTTGCATTGGGCTAGCTAGGCATGGACTTGGCTTGGGAGTTGAAGCATTAATCATTAAATTAGTTAATTTGCTAATTTGTTTAGAAAAAATTACAAGAATTTAATTAATTCATTATAAAAAAATTTTAAAAAAAATTAGATTCGGTTCTTTGGTTCTTAATCTAGAACCGAGAACCGAATCAAACTCATCAGTTCTTGATTCAGATGCTCATTCGGGTATTTAACTTATAAAAATCGCTCTGCTCGATTCAATTCAATTCAAGTTCGGTTCGGGAGTTTTGTCCAACCCTAGTTCACGATGACAGAGCTTGCGATGCTACTTCACCTGACCACTTCGTAAGTCCTTCGAACCTTATGTTTGAAGAGAATATTAGGGTGTGTTTGAGCGTATTTTGGAATAGTAGATTGATAGAGAATGTGTGGTTGAAAAAGAATGAAAAGTTATTTATATAATGGAAAATATTATGTTATTGAAAAATGTGTGGTTGAAAATGAATAGAAGAATAAGAATGAAAATTTTAATGTGATTTAAACAAGGGGCTTAGAATGATCTAGGGTTTTCTTCTCTACAATCGACGGAGAGAACTTGAATTAGGTTCAAAGCAAAAGCAAGATTGTTGATTATTTTTTAAGGGAGAAATACGGAATTGAGAGAGAATTTTTGGAGAGATCAAATATTGGGAAGGAATATGAATGGGTCGGGAGAAGAGTTAGTTGTGGGGATTTGTTTTGTGGTGAAGAGACAAAGACGTGTTTCATTTAGCCCTTGTTTATACACATTTTATTAACATACATTCTTTCAAAACATATTTTCAACCACACATTTTTAATAAAATAATATTGTTATCACATCAATAATTTTTTCTTACTTTTAACCACATATTTTCCATCATATCACTATTTAAAATACATTATTTTCTCAATAATATCCATCAAACACACCATTAGGATACAATCGATAGAGAGAACTTGAATTAGGTTCAAAGCAAAAGAAAGATTTTTGATGTTTTTTTTAGAGAGAAATACAGAGAACTTTTGGAGAGAACAAATATTGGAAAGGAAGATGAATGGGTTGGGAGAAGAGTGAGTTGTAGGGTGTTTCATTTAGAAGAGAAGTGCACTGTAGCAAAACCATCACTTAAGTAGAGGTGACAATCCAGGTAGTCCGGGTCGGGTCGCCCGCCAACATATGACCCTGGTAACGGCACGCATGAAAAAAAGTCCGCCCGCCCGCTGACCCATGTGGGTCACGGGTCGCGATTTGTTCCGATTTAGCTCGTATTATTGTATAAATAAAATTACAAAAATAGGATTTTCAGAAGAAAAATCGCAAGAATCTATAATATAGTAGTATACAACTATCATTGAAAATAGGATTTTGAGACGAAAAATCGTGAGAATCCATAATATAGTAGTATTAAGCAGTTTCGTAGTAAGAAGAAAGAAATATAATAGAGATGATGATGATATTTGCAATTGAATAATTGTAATTGCAATAACAAGATTAATTTTTTGGAAGACAGTAACAAATGAGATAAATATTACCAATTAACCGAAATTTATAGATGAAATGATGATTTTACCGTTAAAAAAAAAATAATAATAATAAAGAACGAACAACGAAGAGCCAACGATTGGGTCTTCGTTCATAGCATGCAGGCTAGCTCCCATTTTTTTGAATTTTTATTTTCACGGGCCAGCGGGTTAACAGCGGCCTGTGAAGGTGCAACTCGCGAAGCTCGCAGGTCACACCTCCTTGACCCGTGAACCGCCCGCTCGGGTCATGGGTCGGCCCGCGGTCCCGATCAATCCGGGCTAGTTTTCACTGGTCTGATCGGTCCGTCCATCTTGATACCTCTACACTTAATAAGTATGAAAAGGCACGTGATGTAAATAAACGCCTCTCCAAAGTCTCTCTTTTAATAGAGAAGAGAGTAGAAGTAATGCAATAATGCAATTGTCCAAATTTCACTAATCAATGAGTTGTCTCAGCCTAACAATTATTCTACAAGCCCAAATAAGGCCTACACAAATCTATCCCAACTCTGAACGTGGCTTACAAATTCATTCTTTGTCAAAGAAACTTCACTTCGCAAATCCCCCACCCCCAATCCCTGAAGAAGAAAGAAAGAGAGGATGAAGATGACATGGAAGAAGAATCAGAACAAAAAACGACCTATTTCTCACTATTCGAACCTCCCTTTTGATGATGAGGTTAATCAAAATAATGATGCTAATACCAAAACTAAAACTATTGAAACAGAGGTAGTAGAAGAAGATAAAGCCGTCCAGGACGAAGAATTGAAGAATAAAGAAATTTATGCTTCTGGGAATGATGAAGAGAATAATAAGAAGCTTGGTGAAGAATATGAAGCTCTAGGAAACAAGCTTGCCGAGGTACTTTTTCTATGTTTGATTTGTTTTGTAGGGTTCTGTTTTTTTATATATACTGTTTGATGAATTTAAGGACAATAATAAAGTTTAAAATAAGATATTTCAGTTTGTAGAATTTGGAATATTGATTTTTGATCATGAATTGAAGTGGGTGTACTCAATTTAGAATTTGAATTATTTAACTGATTGCGGATTTTGGAGTTTTGGTTTTTTTAATTTTAGGTATTTAGAGAGAGTCTTTTTCTAAGTGGATTGAGAGGATTGAAAGGAGATTGTCGCCTTGCTGAAATTGAGGAAGAGAAAATTTATAATTTATTTGTTTCATATTGGTGGAATTTCTGAAAGATACACGGACTACAGATTTTTTTAAGGGAATTCGCGTCATGATTTACTCCACCTTATGTAGAAAGAACCCAAAGTAAATGTGAGGTTTTACCGAATGAGAAAAAAATTACAAAAAGGGTATGAAAAGTTAGAATGTCTAAATCTTTTTGCAAGTTAAGGAAAGAAGAAGTCTTCTTTATGGTGGCTGTTCTTAGTTAGACTACTCTATAAGCATTCATTTTTCTAATTTAGCAACTGTGCAAGGATGCAGAAATCTTCTTTAGTTACTTTATGGTTGTCCTCAAGAGCGTGACGATGAGTATGAAGAAGAAAATATCATGTTTAGATGCTTGTCACTAAAAAGTCGTGATTGCAGTGTAAAGTTTTTGTTGGATGTGCCTATAACAAATCTATGACAAGAACCAAACGTCCTATGATCTTAGCTTAATACACTTGCAGTTTCTTGATCCGCGAAGAATTTTATATTGAATGTGTCTACAGATGTTAGTTAAATGGTGTTAGTCAAGATTCATTCCATCTCTTGTTAAGTGTTTGCCCTGCCCTTTGCTGATTCTATCAACTTTATCGTCTTCGTATTTGAAAACATTCGCTAAAGAATTAATGGATACAAAGAGAAATACCCATTTGGGATGGCTTGCATGACATGATACGTGTCCAATTATCTAAAAGTATATCCATGGGACCCAGGGCTGTGGATATGTGAGCACACTCGTGTGCAGGGAAGGTTGCAAGGAGAGACATTGCCTAAAGTACATTGAACCTGAAAAGGAATCAAAATGTGAGGTTCGCATGAAGCAAACCTTTCCAAAAAATTTTGATGAGCTAGAACTTTAAATTTGTTAAAAAGAGTCTAAAATTGCAAAATGCTATACTCTGGCAAGCTTCGCTCAAAAAGGTTGAGGAGGACTAGTTTGAGGAGGGATTAACAAATGTTTCATAGAGCCTAACATATACTTACTTGAATGGTATATCAAGCCATTTGAAGGTTGCAAAGTTTACTGCTTTTTCCTGGATAGTGCATCAACATAATTCTGTCTTCCATAATTTATGTGGGTTATGTTTACTTGCCATCCTTCAATATTCACTGGCTACCTATTTGCAGTATGTGCTAAAATTTTTCCCATTGTAATTATTTTAAGGACAGGTACTATTACTTATGGCTCAAGTACAGAAACGAGGCATTCCAAACAGAAGTGAAAAATTTGCTACATCATGTTTCTATTTCTCACATGACACCACTTTTGGGTGCTCATACATAGATACGCTACATGATGCATCCGTTTTCGTTCTTTTTCTATTCTGAAGGATGGGAATTACCAAGAAGCACTTGGAAAGTGGGAGACTGCAATTGTATTGATGCCGGAGCGAGCTGTTTTACACGAACAAAAAGCTCAAGTCTTACTTGAACTTGGAGAGTCATGGCACGCCTTGAAGGCTGCAACTCGTGCGTCCCTATTTTGTTTCCTTTTTTTTTTTTTTCTATTTCTTT